ATCAAACAGAGAACAAGGATCTGACAAAGACTGAGGACAAAGAACAGAATATAAAGGGGAACTAACGAAACAAAAAACACCTGGGAGAGAAACACGAGGATGAGGTGTGAGTGGGTGGGGCCGGAGCAAATGCAGACAGGAGGAAAACAGAGGGACATGACAGAAAAACAAAATAAAGTCAAAATAAAACATGAAATTAGACAGAACATAACACATACAGCATGCTTTAAAAATTTACCTGAACACATTATAAAAACCAAACTTGTCTTCTAGTTCTAAATACATGATCTCTAAATAACCATGTTGTAACTAATTTTTTCTTTTTTGTGATGTTACTAACAGACTTTTGTACTTTCATGTTTATTGCTTCGTACAAATATCTTTTATTCAACACCTAATCACTTTATAACTTGAGCATGTTTCTCTGATTTGGTTTTTAATAAGATTTTTATGATTTGATGCTTTTCCTGTACGGTGGCCCTGGAGGCTCAGTCTCAGAGGATCCAGGCCCGGATGGTCAGGATGGTGCTGAAGGCCACAGCTTTGGTGAAAACCACTCGGACTCCGTTCATCAGCAGCAGGTAGAAGTTCAGTCTGGCTTTTTCTGGAAAACAGAGTTCAGGGACACTTCAGTCTCAGCAGCAGCCTGGATGAGTCTGTCGGTGCAGAACAGGTGTGTTCAGGTGTGTTTGCTGACTCACCTGGATAAATGTTCTCACATGCATCATCTGTTTGGAAACAGGAAACACATCAGTCACACAAACAACCTGAACTGTTTAAAAGTCTGTTTGTAAAACCTGAAACTAAAAGAATCAGAACTTAGGAGATGAGTGTGTTTGGTACCAGCTTCATTGTTGCTGAACGCTCCGTTCATCTCACAGGAGTGGATGGTTTCATTGCTGAAGGCAACAGAGTAGTAGGACTTGGTTTCAGTGGACCAAACTGCATCATTTGGGCTTACGGTGACCGGACCCCCTTCCTGGTTCAGAACCACATCATCCCCCTTTGAACGGGAGTTAGAGGCCAGACAGACATTTGGACCGAGCTGGTCTGCTTTTGTCAGAGGGAAGCCTGTGGGCTGCAGGGGGGTCAGGACGAACAGGGTCGGTTCAGAGCCGCCTTCTGCATAAAGAAAATCACATGGATCAATAAATGGATTTTTGCCCATTTATTTTAATCATTTAAATCATTTAAATCATTTAAA